TGACCGGCAGGTGCGCTGGGTTGGTCAGACCCGATGTCGGGCGTGGCATAGCCCGCTTCGCTGGGCAACCAGCTATGCTCACGGGGTTGGCCCCTTGCACTATACCAAAAGTATGCTTGCTGGCTCTTGGTAACGGAGTTCCCCGCACACACACACACACACTCACTTGTGGGATTTCGGCAAGAGCAAAAGGCAAGCAGAGAAGAGGGGTTAGGCGGGGTTGCTGCTGGTTGTTTCACACAAGCGACGGCTACTGCAAGACTAGTCCGGAAACCACAGAGGGCCGTGTCGATTTTCAGGTACGTGGTTCCAGCGTCCCCATGTCAACAAACTCTGAAGAGCCTCTGTGTTAGATGCCCACTCTTCAAGTGTGCGGCATCCCCCTGCTGTGCGAGAAGGGCAACAGTAAGGACGCTCACACACAGACACAAACGTACGCGTGGACAGACAGATGAGCACGCACAGACAAACACAAAGACAGCCAGCCAGCCAGGAAGGCTGGCAGCCACGCAGGCAAATGATCAGCTGAGATAGACCAGACCGGGACTCAAGAACAAACAGCTCAGATTCGTCTGACCGACCAAAATTTGTCTGCAAATAATCCCAGCAGCGCCGGATAGCCGAGCTCTTTGCAGGTATGCGCACAGAGAAATAACTAACCAATGAGTGTCAACAAGAGACTACGATAATGCATGCAGACGAACTGCGGAAGAGCGTGCTCGGCTACCCTAGTACGGCAAGCTTGCTGCATGTGCTTTTTTACATCACACTTCACAAAGGCAATCACTTCCGAAACCAACTGCAAATCTGTCGCATTTGGTGACCCATGTTGCGCACGACCACTGTACGCGTCTGATGCACTCATGCTGCCGGCATCCCGGGTCATTTCACACACTCACCAGCAGTCCTACAAGTCTGAGAGATTAGACTGTTCCACCTGGAACGGCCGCGCCAGAACTGGACGATGAGCAGGAATGGCGAAGGCTTGGTTGTCACTGAACCCGCAGGCCCTGTCAGCGATTGAGGCTGCGTGCACAGCTTCGTATTTGAGGTTCTGTACACTTCGAGTTGCCTTTGAAGCCGGGATAGGTTCAGTGCACCAAGCGCGCAAGATAGCTTAACGTCTGCTCTGCAGCATGAAGCTATTAGCCCTCAGCTGCATAGCTCCGCAATATGCTCGTGCTGAATCTGTGCTAGAGAATTCGTCCAACTAAATAAATCTGCCAACACGTTCGAGATCCAAAAGAGCACAATAGCGTGCTAGTTTCATGAATGGTCACATCGAGTATCTGGCAGTCTAGTAGTCACATCAAGGTTTGGTGGTCGTCGTTGCAAGCGCCTCTTTTCTAAGAGTAGCGGTGCGCTTTCAATGGAGGCTCGAACGCAAGAAACACAAACTAAACCACTGCAAACACAACGACTCACAATAGACAATAGAATATGACAATAAATTGTCGCCATGCCTCGCCAGACGTTGAAACCAATGCTGCTTGGACAGGTAAGCCTCGCATTCGTGCTGAAACGCAACCCGGAAAGCATCATAGCTTCAAAGCGGGTGATCAAGCCTTGTGACCGGAAGCGATCTCCTTCTCAGTATGGCATGGCGGGGACCATGAACAACGACTCCGACTTACTCCGACTTCAAAATCTGTGGGCCTTCTTAATGAAGGCGCACTTCTGCGCCCGGTAATCCTGGAGCGCAATCGCTCGTACAGTAGGAATTCACTTGCCTACCTGCCCCCTCAATCCTCGGCGGTACTATGCTGGGCGGAGCCCACCGCGACGAAGGCAAGGGTCAAGGAAAACCGCCACATCCTCGTCTTGGACTGTGGCGAGACTATGACGCACTCGCTTTCGCACATCTTCGCGATGCAGCCTGCACGCGTCAAGTCCTAATCATGTCATGCCTGGCCTGTTGCTGGCGTGCGGCTATCCCGGAAATTGCAAGACGGGATGTCTTCTCTTCGCTTAAGAAACGGCTGCATGCGACCCAACGGCTAGAAGCGAACATGGTTCATCATGAACCTGCAAGGGCATACAAAAAGGGCTGCATGGCATGGCACGGCGGAACAGCAACCAACTGAAGACCGTAATGCGCCGGTCCGAGAACGCGGCGGTTACAACGCCAAGAAGTGCAGGAACATCGGAATACATGAGATTTTCGTGAAAGGGGCTGCGATACGGTTTCCACCCAAAGCCCTGGACACAAGACCGAAATAGAAGCCGACGATCGGATTCGGTGTTAGCCGCCTTGGCCAAAGCTACCGGGACGCATCTTGACACCCCGCAATCCAGACATTTTCACTGACCACACGGGCCTGCAAAGTACGCACTGGAAAGCTGAGTTGGTTGAGTTCTCTTTGTTCACATTACAGTTTGGCAGTGTCTGAAGTATGAGGCAGCATGATTAAGGATGCACTAGTCCTGCTCCAGCTGCAGCTTCTACTTCCTGTCTACGGTGTGAGACTTGCGAGCAGGCATATCGCTGCCAGCTCTCTGTGCGGTGCTTCCGACCGATGACAGAGTGCATGAAGTTGTGACTGTGCCTCGTGCGTGCCTGCGGAAGAAACACTGCTACGAGGAACTGTCGCTGGAGCTGGATGCTTTCCTCTTCTTGGATTTGGAAGCCTGGCAAACAATCCAAGTCATTGGTGCAAAGCTTGAAGGGGAAGCCCCGGGTGGCCGTCAGCCTCGACTGCTTTCGCCAAAAGCTTCTTCTCCTTCAACGCCTTCTTCTCCTCGTGTGCATTTCTCTGTGAGAGTCGGCAGCCTCACCAGCGTTCGGCCGAGCCTTCTTTGCCGCCTTCTTCTCCATCTTTTTCAGCTTCTTCTCTGCCTCCGATCAGCGCACTCCCAACAGGTCATACATCTCGTCCTACGTCTGCTCCTTTCCAAATGCTGTGGCCATCAACAAAGCCTTTTTGAGCTTTTTGTCTTTCTTGCCAGCAGCTTTGTCATTCTTATCGTTCTTCTGGTCGTCTTCAGGCCTTCCACTGTAGTACTAAATATGGTTGTGTTGCTGAGGACTCGTAGCATTTTAAGAAATGGGAATGAACCTCCGCGCGGCCGTGTCTTCGTGTGCCTCCTTCGCCTCGAGTGTCGCACCACAGTGAATGTGTGCTTGTGTGTGAGCGTGAAGATCGGATGCCAACAGCTCCTCTGACCTCTTGTCTTGCACTGAACAGATACAGCCTGAATTCTCTACCAATGTGCCGACCATCTACATGCAGGGCTTGAGTTTGAGGTGCAGCATAGTGAGACATTGCAATGCCCGGCCAACCCTGTTTTCCGCAGGTGACACTCGGCTGCCACGGCGAAGCCTCATCTTCGCACTGGAGAGCTCACATGATTCCGTTGCAGCTCAACGCTGGCGATGCAATGCATGTTGCACAACGAGTCCTGCTTGAGTCCTTGGGCGTCGGCGTTATTTTCGTCTGAACCACTTGCGCTCCCAGTCAAAGAGGATGTCCCCTTTGGCGGCCCCGAGCGCCATGGCCTGTCAGAGCAAACACTGACGAGCTGGCTGCGTCCAGCTGAGGCACTATCTCGTTTAGCCAGATCCAGGTTGTGAGAACAAAGCTGTCCACTTGGAAAAAGGATTGATTGCAGGCCTTTATGGACAAAGCATTGGCTAACCGGTTTACCATATGCCACCTCTGGACCCGGCTGCGCGGGTGCCTGAAACCCAATCACACTTGCAAGCCCGCGATCAACCGTGGCAGGCGCATTCTAAAGGCCGCAACAAATGCTGAAAACTAACACAGGGAGGGAATATGCGGTGGACGCTCGGAGCAAATATCAAAAAAGCAGCAGGGCACATTTCACCCAGTGGCTCAGTCTTGCATATTCCTGTTTATAGACATAATACGAACAACATCAACGCGGACGCGGACCGCCCCTCCCCCCATCGCCCCCAAGTCGTCGCGACCAAATCTCGAAGTGTGCCCTGTGCCGCCGGCTCGAGCTGCAGAAGCAGCTGGGCAAAGGCCGGTCGAGAGTTCCAGCATGAATGTCGGAAAGAAAACGTCAGCACACCACTAGAGTCGCACCAGATACACTTACCTGTCCACTTCTGCGCAGAATGAAAAGCGAACAAATCGCCACATCTCGTGCTGAATCGTAACGAGCTTGGGAATGCAGCTTCGTCCAAGAAGCTGGGCGGCAACCTCTGGCAAATAGAAATCCAATCAAGTCAAAAATCAGAAAACAGGACAAACGAAAGGCAAAAAGAGCCCTGCAATGGCGTGAAGGGCTAGCGCGTGCGAATTCCCATGTTGTTGGAGACCGCACTTCCGTACAGAAGCGCCGCTCTGCATTGCTCGGTTTGTGGCCAAAGCCGAGGCGGGGTGAAAGGACCGCGGGCTTCCTTCGCCTCTCGGTTTGTGGCCAATACAGAGGGGTGAAAGGAGCGCGGCCTTCCTTCACCTCTCGGTTTGCCGCCAAAACACAGACCTTCCTTCACCTCTCCATTTGTGGCCAAAACAGAGGAGTGAGAGGAGCGCGGCCTTCCTTCACCTCCCTGTTTGTGGCAAAACAAAGGGGTGGTTATGCCAATTTGTTTCTCCTGTTTTCTGATTTTGTTTGTGCTGTTTTCTGATTCTTGTTTTCCGATTCTGTTATGTTTTCTGATTTCGTCAGTGCTGTTTTATGATTCTGGCTGTGTGATTCTGCCCGGCTGTTTTCCGACATCGCCCTCCTTGGTTTCCGAACTTCTTTTCCTGATTTCGCCCAATGTTTTCCGATATCCTATTCACTCTGTGGCAAGGCAGGTCTGCGAGACTCCACGCAGGGTGTCTGTCTTTGTGGGTGGAGAATCCGTCCGTCTGCATATGCGGGTGTGGGCGCGTCCGTGAGTAGCGTACATGTAAATGCATATGCGAGTGTAAGGTCGGTGCAAAACGAAGCATCCATTTCAAACCCCCCCCCTCCCCACTCCCACTCCTGAGCCACTGTGTCAACCAATCAATTCACCGTGCAACCCCTAGACTGACCCTACCCTTTCAAGAATTCGCTAAATTTCTGAAACTGTGACAATGGAAACAAAAGGCCTGCCGACAGCTGCTGTCGTAATCAGAAATGAAACAATGAGCCCAGGCGTGCGATTCGCAATCAGTGCGAATCGTCCTGTGGAAGCAGAAGGGCACCAAGATCAGAGATCCTGGCACCCGCACGACGCTGGTAGACGCTTGGAAACAAACGGTAAGGCAACAAGCTCCGATCCACGGTGTTCGGGAGATAAAACGTCGTTTAGGCGCGGCCCCCGACTTGACCGCATCGCACCCCGGATGATCCCGGATGGTTTGAAGTGACAGCATCAACATGCACTGTGTGCGGCACCGCACGGCACCCAGCGCCCGGAGTGCTCTCTGCAGATGGTTCGCTATTTGCTCCGAGTATGTGCTCTCGCCAGCTCTCGCCTCAGCGATGGTTTTGGCCTTCTTGTAAAGCTCGTAGCGCTCGAAGCCCTTCCCGCCTGCCTCGTGTGTACCACGGTTCCTCTCCTTTGCACAGCTATGCCCCGGCAGCCTTCTTGGGGTTCTGCTGAACAAACCTCGGCCATTCCATTTCACAGAAAGACGACGTCTGGCATCTCGACATGGAGCCTCCTCCATATGTCCCGTCATCCAGCATCACAGGCATAGACGCAACAGATGAAGGGACTATGTAAGCGTCCGTCTCGATCTCTTCGTGAGGGCTTGGAAGAGGCTCCTTGTCCCCAGCACCTGCATCAACCGTTTCTTGTCACCAGAGGCTGTCATGCATGTGTTAAGGCAGTATCGTTGTGGCCTGCAGTTTTGAAGCCGCTTGAGCGAGCCTAGCCGGCAGGAAAGCTGCATTCTGCTGTATCTTGAAAGCACGGCCGGCAAGGCCGGAAGGCAGCCAGGCATGGATCCTCCCAAGCTTAGCCATGACACCGAGCCCTGAGGTAGGGACTTTCGGCTTCGGCTTAACTGCACCTTCCCACAACCAGACTGCCACGAGCGCGGGAAGCAGCGAGCAGGAGCCTGGAGCTTTCTTTGTAGGCTTGGACTTGACCTGCCGTAGCCAAGTTTCAAGCTGTCGCCTCTCGACTTCGACTTCCACGGGGGCCCCGTGGCCTCTGCTGGCTCCTCTGCTTTCTTGGGGTGAGTTTCCAGTCTTTCCCTTCTTGTGCTGGACACCTCACATGAACTGCAGCATCCGTAAAGAGTTCTTGGAATGCACAAGGCAAAGTGCCTGCATGAGCGAAGATGCAGCACTTTGGGCACCTGCAAAGGACATCAATGCCATTGACATGTTGAGATACCGGCATGCTGCAAGTGTGCGGACCCACGCGAATCGGCACAACTTTGGGCACTCTTCTGAATCTTCAGCACATGTGGACTCAACTGCCGCCGTCACGCGCACAAAACGGGCCAAGCAAGGCCTTCCAAGATGGCAGAGGATGGCGGCGATGGCGGCGCGTCCTTCCTCATCGGCTCCAGGGGCCTGTCCTGCAGAGGTCAGCATCTCCCGGCACCGCGGCACTGGATTTCATCAAAGGGTCCTCCGGTGCCATGTACTCTTGCCTCGTCGGCCACGAATACAGTTCCACCTCATGACACGCCCGCCCCCACCTTCTGGTGTCGAAATCGCCGTGGCGCATACACAGCCCAGGCTTGTGCCTCGTCCATCTCCCACGCATAGTCGCTGGCGGATCTGCTCAGATCGAGATCGAACCCGTCCTTCTCCAGAGCCACCTGTCTTGTCCAAATGCAGGTGACATGATGCAAGATCATCTGTGGATGCTTTGATTGCGAAATACAAACACCAGATGCTTGCTTTAAACTGATGCAACACTCATATCACTCTTTGAGTCCTTCTTTGAGCCTGAAGCGACCACGGCGTCGGAGCATACCCCATACGATGCTTTTCTAAGCCTCGACGCCTGTGAGCTTGGAAGCCCCCCAAATCTCGAAACAAACGGCACTTTTGGACACTAGGTCATATGCTTGGCACGTTTTGTCAAGAAGGTTGGGATGCTGAAGTGCTTTTGGACTCTTACGCGCCAGAAGCACTGGAGCTCCGAAGGGAAAGATTCCAAGCATACTACAAGGCCCCCCAGCACCACTCCCAGCCCCAGTCGGGACGAGCCCTTGCACAGAGCCACAAACCTGGCTGAGCTCAACGCTGAGCATGAGGTGGCCAAGAGGCAGGCAAGCCGGGCGGGTTGTCGCTTTGGTATCGTTTTCGTTGACATTCGATTTGCTTGCAACAGATCGGGCTGTTGCGACGCCGTCTCGTGACCGAATGCTTCGGAGAGAAAGCCGTTGATTGACTCGGTGACTGCTAGGAATGCGCCGAATAACCGACAAGCAGGGCCCCCGACGCCCGTCTCCGAGACATTGTGGGCTCGCCTCGGTCCGGGCATGGAGTCGCTGTCCGCTCTGCTGTCCGCGCGCGCTGTGCGACAGAGCCGTCACCCTCCGACTGGCCCTGGGGATCAAACGCCCAGTCTTGCGCGAGGGACCGAAGCGGCGCCGACTTGGTGCCAGAACCCTCGGCTCCCATGCTTCACGGCTTTGCCTTATTGCTGCACTTGACTCGACTTGCTGCCGAGCAGCCAGCCAGCGATGCTTTCGATCATCGCCAGACACCGCAAGAATCAAGAAGTTGATCATGTCTGCTCTCCAGGCTGATCTGATCTCATGTCTGCAGATGTCGGCGATCACTTGCCATGTGCTGTTTGCTTTGCCTTCAATGGACTCTCGAGCTCGGGCTTTGCAAACTGCAGGTTTCCTTACATCGGCCTTGGCTAGCATCACTATGCTCGGTGTGCTCGGCAAAATTGCAAAGGTGAAGCCAGACCCGTCTGGGCAGACAGTCTAAGCTAGGGCCGATCCGTGTTGCTGCAGTCTGGCACTGGACCTTTTGCTTCTGCGATGTTTGCTTGGACTTTGGCAAGCTGGAGAGCTTGATCCCGACATGACTTTGAAGAAGACAACAGCGATATCGCAACAATCCTTGGCTAAATGTTCCGAGTCGGCCTCTTGGAGATTGTTTCGCTCCGACAAACCTCGGTGCATCGTTGGCAAAGGACAACGCACTTTGCAGTATCCGATGAAAATCTGCCTGGTCCAAGTGGACATTGCAATACACCTCGGACGCCATGGTCCATCAACACAGACGCAGGCTCACACACTGCCACAGACACGTTGCACCATCATGGACATACAAAGACTCTCCTAAGCTAAGGTTTTTGTCACCTTGGCCCACGAGGCTCGCTACAAAGACTCAACTGGTTCACTACGACGGCCCTGTCAAGGTGCTTGTACAATCACACACAGTGACTCCACTCAGCCAGCAACAAAAAGAAACTCAGTCCAAACCGAATCCGCTGTGACTCCGTGACACATTGTGACACCAAATGCGAGAGCACGCAAAGTAACAAACCAACACGCACTACATGCGTATATACATGCATGATCATGCATGCATACCATCATACATACATGTGTACACGAATACAAACGTCCACAGACACACATGTGCAGGCATACATACATACATACATACATACATACATACATACATACATACATACATACCTACCTGCGTACGCACACACAGACACATACATACATACATACATACATACATACATACGTACGTACATACGTACGTACACACGTACAGGCACACAGACAGAGACACACACACACACACACACGTCCAAGCAAGCACTACACATTACATTGTACTATACTACACTACGGCCTGCTACACTACACTACGCTACATACCCCGCTACATGCTACACTAGGCTACACTACATGCTACACTGCACTACACTACACTGCACTGCACTGTCACTACACTTTTTTTTTGCAAGCGCAGGGCCCAAGTTAGGTCCCGTCTGCTCCGACCGTTCAGGAACGCTGCGAGGGTTTACGGCTTGGCTTATTTACAACTGGAACCCAAGATGCTCTATTTCTGGCAACTACAGAGACTTGGCGATAAAGGGGAGTGTTGTCCATCCATACCATGGGGTGTGAGGCATGTGCTTGCCGGATCTCTGCTGCTTTCGGAATGGCATAAAATTCATGATCAATCGAAGAATGGGGAGGGGGATTATCTGAGCGGAGAAAACTGATGCGGTGGGAGGCCTCTACGAGGCAGGACTCCGCCCAGTGGAGTTTGGGGC